TCAGAAGCTTTAGGCTACAGAAGACAAATGACTTAAGCAACAGCGAGCAAATTGCCTGTGTCTTTTGTTTAAACTGACTCGCATTTCCAACACCGCGTTATTGTGACCTATTTGTCATGCTTCGCAATCTTAATGAGGGGAAGGAGGTCGAAGTGAGCTCAACAGATGACTGAAAATATGCACAGCCCGGCTCTGGCCCGGCTTTGGCTCGGCTGGCATGTCACAACCCCCCATGGGAGTAGAACTCAAGTCAGCTGAACATACTTCAGCATTGGCAGGGTTCAAAGGGCAGTGGGCCTTACATGTGAGGAGAGCACAGGGGATTTAGTCTGCCTGCTAACTAACAGTGGGAGCTTTTGTGGTCAGCTTCATTGCCCCTATTTGTTTTTAGCCCCCACCCAGTCTGTGTTGAGCAGAAAGGATTCCTCCTTCGGAGCAGAATCCTACCCCTGTCAGTCTGTGCGTATTTCAGAATAAAGGATTATTGTGCATGGGCGGCGGGATATGCAATAATTGATTCTAAATAGCCAAATTCATTAATTTGATTGTTGGCGACAGCAGATCTCTCGACAGTGTAATTAGGACAGCTAATGGATGAAGGCACGCTAAATCCATCAATGCTAATGATAATTGCTGTTTGGGAAAGCGAATATGCTTCACCAATATGGGGCCGAGTCCGCCGCAAAATCAGTAACAGTCACGCGGCATCTAAAAATATGAGTGGTGAGTGGAGTGGAACCCGTGTTGGGGAGACACCCAAAGAGGCCACTCAGAGGGGCTGCAGCTGGGCCATCTGGGCGGTGGACTTCGATCGTTTCATCCATCTTTTTTTATCTTCCATCCATCCGTGTGGCAGCGTTGCGGCAAGCAAAGCAATCATGCCCTTCTCTCCTCGCTGACAAGCAACCACTTCTGAAACCATCAGCTCTGATTGGTTGGTGGTTTGTCCCGCGGTGGGTTGCCCCGTTCCGACGCCTTCGACTCCTACAATAATTTTCCGCGGATTCAGAAGTGGAGACACATCAGTGGAGATGGAGGTAGTTACAGAATGATTTTGTACCTTGCTTTATGGTAAGGGCTCTGTTTTAACTATGAGGTCCTGAACTTAAATGCAGACGTCAGTGTTCTTAAGTCAATTAATTTTTTCAGCTGAGATCATTTAGACGTAGGTTTTATTGCCCCAGTTTTTTTCTCTCCATACTAACTTCTCTGTGAGCTGATGAGGAGCTCATTATAGGAAAGAGGGGACCTGTTATTCTAGTGCAGGTTAATGAATGTCGCGTGCACGAGGGACGCGGAATGGGAGGGAAAGTAGAGAAAGAAAGATTGTTTTATTTCAGCAAGGTATGTCCCCTCCAGGCTTGGAACAAGTAAGCTTGTTCGTGCCCCTCTTGTACAAACGTTAATGATGTTTTCCCACAGCCCCGAGTGACAGTTTGTTCGTCGGGACTCGTTAACACGTGGAGTCTCTGGAGTTTTATGACTGCTGACAACAAAGTCCTTTTTCCTGCTATGTCCCCCTGGGCCTCACAGAAGTCGTCCCGGGTCCGTTGTTCAGGCCTCTCCACTTTTGTTAACCGGAGATGTTTTGACATGTGGTAGGTAGCATGTTTTGGTGCGATAACAAGAAGCCCTGTGACAGCCCTGCAAAGAGAAAAGCGCACAGCATTTCTTCTATACACAGTTCAACCAGAGGCAGTGATGGCAAAGAAAGAGCTTCTGGGGGTTTCCATGCATGCTTAGGCTTATAAATGGTCTGATTAAGAAATCCGACCAATTGTGGCTCATACAGTCCGTCATAGTGTTATTCCATTGCCTCAGATTGGGTTGCTTTTATGGAACCATATCAAGTAGTTATGTAGGGAGGACAGATTGTTTCCATGGGAAAGCTCTGGGCAATATAACACTTATATTGTTCGGACGTTAGTTTGTCGCCTTCTCTTTGGCTTTGCAAAGAGGGCTAATGTTCTTGTTTGACACTGGCGGATTGCTTTCTCTCTGTGCCTGAAGAGAGAAGGCAGGCTAATACATTTGAGTCGGTGAAGCGAAGGTCGTTGAGAATTACATTCGCTCCCTCCCCTCCTCGCCCGTCTCCCCCTTTCTTTCTTCCCTTTAATTTCCCCGCTGGATTGGCAAACGGTTTTCAGTATTAGCACTGTGGTAGGCAGCTCTGAGTAATTGTCTGTGTGTGTGTATGTATGTGTGTTGTGGCGTGCTTACAGGCCCACCCAGAACCGATCCAGACTAGACCTATAAATAGGTGCTCATCTGAACTGGATGGTACTGTCCTGAGGAACAACAACAGGAAGAATATGACATAAAATACCACAATGCATGGCCCGTGAAAGGAATAATCTGAGTTTAAATTGGGAAGTTAGGAAGCTGTGGAAGGCTTAAACCATGCCATGCTCTTCCTTTACTATCCTAAAGAGAGGTTGTCCCGTTTTCCTGAAAGGACACTAAACCCCAGAAGCGGGGTCCTCACAGGTGTTTAGAGCGATGAATTAGAGGTACATTTAACCCAGCTGGCAACCAGAGAGCCTTTATTGGAGCCGTCAAACTGCCCCGCCAAGTATTCAATGTAATCTCTTCCAGATGATAGGGGCCTGGATAGATCTGTGTTAGCAGGGCGAAGCGTGTGGGCCACTAGCACAGAACCGCCAGAGCTCTGGCTCGCACACCCGTCAGTCAGGCACCAATAGGGACATTTTGGACAAGCCCAGCACAGCGAGGAACCCCAGGGCGTATTCTGGCTTCCATCTGCAAGCTCTCTCCCACTGGGCTGCCTTACGAACATCATCCGCTGATGCTGACGCACCAGAGTAATAAGCAAGGAGTCTAAATGTTTGCATGGCAGTTTGTGAGGACAACATTGGTTGATTGGCTTCTGTCTGTGTGCACATCCATAACAACCTGCACCCGACATAAGTGCACAATGTACTCAGGTTTACACACACAACAAAATCAATTTTTTAGGCGTCTGGCAACGTTCAGCTTTTGGTAGTTTAAGGGGGGCAGAAACTGAGACTCTGAGGTGAATTAAAAGTCTGCTGATACAGAACAAAACAGAGCAGAGCCACACAAATATGTATGCTCTCCTTTGATAGCTGAGAACCAAAAGACAGAGAGGAGAGGAGTCAGGAGGAAGTATGAGATAAGGGAGAACATATGCAGAGGGGATGACCATAGAAACTGATAGCAACAATTAAAATATAATAATAGAGAAGGCAATTACTTTAAAGACAGAAAGAATAAATGTGTGAGTAAAAACGTAGGGATTTTGTAAAACAGTGTTTCATTATAAATATTTGCACCGGTGACTAACAAGACACTAATCCTGCAACTCGGGACCCCACTAAACTAAATAATGAGTAACTCCCTGTCCATCTACCCCCAAAGTGCGCCGGGGGGGGTTAACATTGTAAACACCACGTGAAAGTGATATTTTTTTTACTGTGCTACCGCTGATAAAGTAGCAACAAAGTGGTACTTGTATGAGTCGAGCCAGAGCTGTTGCCACAGCTGGTGGCCCGGCGAGGAGAGAGGAGGATGACCTGGCCTAAAATCACAAGACGAAGAGAAATGAAGAGAGCCCAAACAACTTGGCCTGGGAATTAACATTTGAAAATTATGACGAGCCTAAGTGTTGGTGCGGAGGGGGCGGGGGGGATATTTCCTTGACAGATTTTTATAAGATTTGGGTGGGGTTCCCGAAATATGGAAAAGCAAAGCAAATCGCCAGCTAATTGGGGCTTCTGAAAATCATTTATAAGAAATAACCAAATGCAAATATACTTAGATTTTTTGATGATCAGGTGAATGAAATCATTTAGGTGGAAAGCATGCGTGTGAATACAACTCAGGCCCCACCTGAGAAAATTACATCTCACTGTGATGGACATATTGGATCTGTCTGGGGTTCTGATAAAGATGAAGGACAGTCATATTGGGTTCAGCAGGGTTCAGGCAGGAACATGTTCGATATGTGACCCGCAGAACTAGAAAACTTGGTGGGGAGTTATGCGTCGTGGGCAATTAGGAACTATTGAAACCAAATCTAAAATCTGCTTTTGAAGCGCCTGTCGCCCTGTCGCTCACAGTCAAAACATAGCATGGAAAAGTAATCTGGACCATCGTGCAAACTCTCTCACACACACATAAAACCACCACTTACCTAACAAGTACCTGAAAAAACACACGCACACTGATAACCGGAGGATACTTAGACCACCCTTGGCGGCCAGTCACTCTCTCCCAGCTTTAGTTTCGCATACCAGATCGTGTGTGTGTGTGCCTGTGTGTGTGTGTGTGTGTGTGTGTGTGTGTGTGTGTGTGTGTGTGTGTGTGTGTGTGAGTGAGAGAGTGTGCAATGGCGTTTCGGCCCAATCCTATTTCAAAGCTGTTTTCCTCCTCTGGTCTTAAACTCTGCACTGGCTCAATTAGGCGGCTGCTCCATTACATAGCCGTGGGTCTGAAATTCCATTTTAATGTGATATATTTTGTGTGTGTGTGTGTGTTTAAGTGTGTGTTTAACAGCTTTAACACCTGCTCTTTCTATACACCAGCCAAAGGCCCAGATTCAATCACACATACTCGAAGCACACACACCGATCGTCAGTGTCATCTAGTTAACTGGAGATATAGACAAGTCTTCAGCTCATGTACTGTACAGTAGTCAAAGCAGTTACATAAACTTGACCTCAATGCAGCTGGGAGCCCGGAACTCTCTGTGGTGTGTGTGTGTGTGTGTTCTTGATATAATTAAAGCATAACCGGCCCTCCTGTTCTCTATTGTAACCTGAGACCTCATTACTTCGCCGTGTTTCATTTCTCCTACATTACCTGCACAATATGCTGTGTTGCTCTCCGTTAATATTGGTGCTCTGAGTATGCATCTACTCTATTTGTGTCTATTAGTGTGTGTGTCTTCAGACATGCTTCAAGTCTGAAGGGAAGGACACTGTGTCTCACGCTGCTTCCCTCTCTGTCGCCTTGTTCAGGTACGACTACGTGGAGGTGAGGGACGGCGTGGATGAGAGCGGCCAGCTTGTGGGGAAGTACTGCGGGAAGATCGCTCCCTCTCCGGTCGTCTCCTCCGGAAACCAGCTTTTCATCAAGTTTGTGTCTGACTACGAGACGCACGGGGCAGGCTTCTCCATCCGCTATGAGATCTTCAAGACAGGTAGGGGGCCGAACCCAGCTGCAGCTTCACTTTGACAAATATTACCTCAAGCCGTTCATATTCCTAAAAATCTAGACTGACTTTCATTAAAACTACAGAGAACTTTTATTTTCTGTTATTTTTTGCGGTCCCTGTGGACAGAAGGGCCAGCGTTCCTAAGGATCAGGTTCCCTTTAGAAAATCTCTCTTTTTAACATTCTTCATAACAGTCTTTATGTAGGTTGTATCAAGGCATCGATATTAGGTCGCGACAGTTTAATAATTAACCAAAAGTAACTTTAAATCAAACAACCTTGACCTCTTGAATTAGCTATTGAACTTTTGGTATATGATTAGGAAAACATTATAACAAGCTCAAAAATAATTAAAATGAGATTGGCCTTGGCTGACACTATCACATGGACGCACATTAGGAAAACTAGGAATAATTGCCATATTGTAGAAAACCAAAGCTTCTCCATCTAGTTTCATAGTTTATTTTTTGATTTAGTCAAGGCACCAGAGCGACAAACTATGCACTCACAATATGGCAGGCAGTATGCTCCATTCCAAACCAATGAATCATAGTCCCATATGTTTTGTAATTGTAGCAGATTGTATCTGGTGAGATTGATCGTACAATAAGCAAGGTCCCAATTTGCTGAGCAGTGTTTTAACAAATTCCAATCAGTTGGAGGTTCCCACCTAAAAATAATTCCTCTTGGTAAATTAGTCTCTATGTGTTCTAAAACACCGGTATCCTCAGTGGATTTCTATGTTATCAGAACACAGCAGCCTAGGAGGAGGGATTTCCTGTCGGTGGCTCCTTTCCTTTGTTTGGACTGGAAGGAGGAGGAGGAGGAGGAGGAAGACAGCTCATATCTAGAGAGTGACTTGTAGGCAGACAGGTGCTACATACTTCACTTTCATTAATTAACCTCGACAGCAGTCAATGGGATGTCCTTCCCTGTGACCTCTGAGACATGATGAATGATCCTTCGGGGTCCCTCCTTCCTTTTAAATCCGGGCCAGTGTGTGTTTGAGCTTGTGTTTGTGTCTCTGGCACCATCACAGGGCAGCTGGCAGAGTGCGGCTCGGTTTACCAGATCAAAAGCAACAATCCGCCCCAACATGCACAAGCTCATCAGCACACACTCCCACTTTCCCCCTCGATAGGCCCGTTAAATCCACCACATTCTTCCTATGATTAGCTTGGTGTATCCCAGGCTCCAACCGGGGATGATTATAAATGAGGCATGTTAAGGGCCCAGTGGCAATATGGTAACTGCACACTCATATGGCACTAAGATATGAGCAAATATATCGAGAACGAATTCCGGACGTTAATGAATATAGAAGATAGTCAGGACCAGAGAGTTGGAGATCAATGTAGGTCTTTCCTTCCAACAATCCAAAGGGGAGTCCCGGTGTGGTGGAAAAAGGGGCTCCAGGAGTATCACCGTAACTTGAACCCAAGACAGAAGCTACCCCCATGGAGGAGAGCGCCGTGGGTGTGCCGTCGCTCCCTTTGTTGGATCCAGGCCCTCGTTATGCGTCGAGTTTACTTTGTGTTTTGACTACTGCGGCACCGGCTGCCGCCAAGAATAGGGCTCTGAGATCAATTAACCGCCCGGTTTGTGAGTGTGAAGCCAAGCAGAAAGCGAGATTCAAGGCTAGCTGATTAGCAGAGCTTATCAACGAGCAGGGTATTAACATGGAAATAAACATTATGTTGGCTAACACATGTAGCGTTAATGATGATACACAGATGCTCTGATAACGGCTGGAGGAACGGGAGGCTCAGGCTTGTGCATGCCAATGAGGGGAAATGCAAACGAATGCAGGCTGTTTATCCCAGATATCCCAGTGGGAGTCAACCATAAGGATGGCACCGACTTTCATCTAGGGTCACATGCAACCAAAGGTCACAGGGTAGATGAATAGAAAGTACTTCCCCCGAGAATCCATTTTATACAAGCATGTTTACATGTGCAAGTTTTACCCACTTAGAATGTAAACTATGCAAATACATTTTTACAAATACTTGCATTGCTGGCATTCATATTTTTAACAACTGTAGCCTGCAAAGTGTCTAATTGGAAGAGAGCAGGTTGTTTTGCGGCTCTCTGTGGCCGCTTCGGCATCCGTTTTTTACGCCTCTCCACTCCTCAGTCCCATCCAACCATCTTAATTAGCATGGCCAATTTATTTTATAGCCTGAAAATTGGCAGCCCCGCTCCGCTGCCTGAAGTCTGGCAAGAGACTGTAAGAGCGTAGTAGATGGTGGTGAAGGAAAAGATGCATAAGAGGGGTAGATGAGGGATATTTGTGCTGAGTGGAGCTCTAAGACTAGCAGGCGTGTGTTTGTTTGTGTCTCTGCGGAGGCCTTCAACGTTATAAAATGGTGCATAACACAACAAGACAGCTGGCCTAACTATGGCCTTTCTTGATAAACCACCCTCAGTGTAATCGTAACATATCTTGGATCCAAGACTGAAAGTGTTTCACCCGTTATCTGACAATATTGTCCTTTAAACCCTTGTGTTTCTCTAAAGATCTGTCCTCTCAAGTACACATGCACAACATATGTTTTTCCTTAACGGCTCTGCTTTAGTAGGAGTCACATCAATGCTGGCCGAGGGCCCATTGAAGTGGGCAAGGGTATTGAGCGACTGACGAACCTTCCTGTCTCCCTCCCTCCCTCCCACTCACTCACTTACTCACACACAGACACACACACAGGCTCATCCCATTCTCCTCACAATTACTCAGCAGCATGAGTCAGTCCATTAGATGAAGGCCTGCGTAGCGCTTAAACCCCCCCCCCCCCTCCTCACGCGACAGCCGCCTTTATCATGTCATCGTGATGCGGGCACTTTTACTCGCACCTGTGAAAACACATTCAAGATGTCCGTGTGTGTGTGTTGGGTGGTTCCTAATAAGGGGCACGCTCTGCCTTCATGCACGGCACGCCCTGATGGCATAGGTCACATCTGGCAGGGAGACGTACTGTCATCTCTGACACGCACACACATACATGCACAGCACTCATTGAAACCTAAGACAACAAATCTCTTTAAGCGGAGCCTGAGGGAGACTGTGACTCTCCCCCCTCTTGGCCCCACATCCCATCAGCGCTGTGTCGTCCCTTAAACCGCAACGTCACAGGCACAGTCAGTGCGCTGAAACAGCCTGTCAGTAATTCAGTGCCTCAGGGTATGTGTAAGGTTAAATATGAACCTCCCTCTCCATCTGTCACGGGGACGGACGCTCCGCAGGCTTCAGGTTAACGTTTGATTCAGTGTTGAAAAAGTAAATTCTCCACTGAGCGTTTCCCCTTCTGTCCATAAGACATGTGAAGGGGGGGTGCAGGGTTGTGATCTGTGCCGATGATCGGCCAAAAAGCAACACAGAGCATAAACAGTGGTGATTTACTTAGCGCTCCAAGAACAACAGCCCTTTTGGCTCCAGCCTCTAATAACCCAGAGGGATGAATAGATGGGGAAAAAGAAAGAGAGGGAGATTAAAAAATGAAATTAGCAAGAGGGTGTCACACCAGTTAACAGTGCAATGTTGCTGTAGTGATTAACGCCGGGTCCCTGGTCTGCTGTCAGCACTTCAAAGCAGCCGCTTAATAGAGACAGGACAAGCCATCGGGGAGACAGTGGAAAGGCGCCCAGCTCCATTCATGTTGAAACCGTATTTATTCAAGATTTACATCGATCTCTTAACACTCACAGAGAATGAAATCCGATTCCCATTGAATAGCATCTTGTCGACGATTGCTCGACGTGTTAAACCAACTCTGATCACTCAGTGAGCAAGTCGGAGTGACATCTGTTTACTCCCCCCTCCTGTGCACAGGGGGGCTCAGTGTAAACTAGAGTCAAAAGAATCCATTACTGCTTGCAGTAAATGTTTGTGTGCCTGGTTGCTGGTAAAGTTAGTTCTTTCCTCTCCCACAACTTCCTTTTGTAAACGCAGCTTAAAAGCAGCGCTTCAGACTACCTGCTGTATTGTGGACGCGAGGAAATCGATGATGATCGCTGTGAATCGAACCTTTGTTATTTATGAAATCCTTCACATTTAATATTTCCACCCCCATCCTTGAGACGCTGAAGCCACTATGATAGAACAGGGGTTGAATAGAGGGTCAGATAGATGCTGCCACAGAAAAGCATGACTTCTATCACCGAATACCTCTCCTGCAGACATAAGCACAACACATGACGGGTGTAGTGAGGAGGAGATTGGGAATGGGAGCCTTCCCGGGTGGAGGCACTAGATAAAAGAGATCTGTTGGACGGTGGGGCCAAACGGAGCAACCTGTTCTCGCCACAGTGTTTTGTTTGTGTTGTCTTGGCTCTGTCCTTTTCTTGAGAGGCTGTGAACGCAGGCAGGGGATAGGGAATAGGAGAGTTTGTCTATTAGCTCGGCGTCAGTCGTGACAATTCAGAAGTAGCGCAGATGGAAGGCTTAATGGCAATATATGCAAAGTTAACTGCTAGTATAATTACACACATTTCACACGACCATCCATTGAAAGACAATATCCTCAAATTGTAAGAGTGAGCTGAATCCTTGCAAAATAATATGGACCATTTGCATCAGTCTAGGCATTATATTCTTCTATTGCCTGGATTCAAAGTGAACCATTCCAAAAGACCAAATCTCTTCCGGCCAACTCCTGAGCGCATGCCATGGGGTCATTGTGGAGGTTGATGAAATCGATGGGGAGTTAAGATCCCAGAAAATACGCAACCTGGTAATTCAACCTGAAAACTGCAGCAGTCTAGAGCACTCAGTGATCCATTGGCGCCTTTTATTTTCAAGGAAGTGGCTCCCATCTGCAGATTTTTTCCACACAAAAAACTGTCTGACATTTCTTCACAAATACGACAAGGTAAAGTGCCAAACTGCAGCATCCGGCAAGCCTCTTATCCCTGCGAACAATCTCTTTCTCCGTCGTATCTTCCGGAGGTAAATACAAGGGGAAGGTGTGAAATTAATGGCGCACACTGTTTTCAAAAAGCCACACACTAGCGGCAGCAGTAAATGTCAGCTCTCTTTAGAGTCACAATGCAACTCGCTGAATGAGAAAATCCACAGGGCTCTCGCTCCCTTCACTCGCACTGCCGGTGGACGGGCTGAAGTGGGCCCAATGGTCCTGAATTAGGGGCCCAGCAAGGAGCTTGAGTGACAGTGGAAAAAGCCGTTTCCCACATTTATTTAAGCTACGATAAGGCTCGTCTCCCCTTATCGTAATCCCCCGCAATTTTGGTTTTGATCGGCCCCATCTGTGCCCATCGCGTGAGCTGTCAGACTAGCATGAAAATTACGTTATCCTTTTTGGCCACTAATAGCTCCAAATAATCGCCCTGGATGACAGTGCCCCCCCCCCCAACCCTAGAGTTGTATGTTTGTGCGTGTGTCAGGCCCGGCGCTTGGGCAAGCATAGTGAACACATCTTAGTGTCTGGTTTTATGACTCTCCTCATAAAATCTCCTACAGCGGTTTTAATCACACGTCAGTCATTCTTAAAAGACAATCTTGTGCTCATGATGCTCTGAGTAGTAGCTAACATGGGAAATGTGCTACTGCTCCTCTTAAGCTGGAAGGCTGTGAATAAATATTTAGACCTTCCCTTGTGTAAAATTGCGTGTGCATGCGTGTTGATGTATGTGCAGTCATTGCCATTGCCCTTCCATCCCTGAAGCATATTCTGCCCGAGCACCTCGCCTCATATGTTTTGCAGACGTGCACAGTGAATCAAGCTGCCTTTCACTAATGTTTACACTGCCGGTCCAGATGTCCCAACGTCTACAGATGTAATACACACACACACACACACACACACACACACACACACACACACACACACACACACACACACACACACACACACACACACACACACACACATAGGGATGAATGTGTGTAGATGATGCCCATGAGGGAATGAAAAAGAAAAAGACACACAGACAAGGGTTGAGAGACCCAGATGTAGCCTCTAGTGAGTAGAAGAACTATCAAGGTGGTCTCGCGTCTCGAGGGCCGTAAACTGTCTTCCACTCAATAGACCAGCTGGGAGGCAGAGCTTCTCCACACCAACCACACAAAGCCTGCTTTCCTTTGTCTCTGTTGCATCTCAACTTTTCATCTCGTCCCCTCCCCATGCAGGTCCTGAATGCTCCCGGAACTTCACCTCCAACAGTGGTGTCATAAAGTCCCCCGGTTTCCCAGAGAAGTACCCCAATAACCTGGACTGCACTTTCATGATCTTCGCCCCAAAGATGTCTGAGATCATCTTGGAGTTTGAAAACTTTGAGCTGGAGCCCGACCCGACGCCCCCCACCGGAGTGTTCTGCCGCTATGACAGATTGGAGATCTGGGATGGCTTCCCTGGAGGTGAGCAAGCTGAGTTGGTTACCGCTGTAGTGTTATTGTGTACTTTTTATTCATTACACAACCAGAAACCAATAGCGCTGTGAAAATATACTAGCTGAAATCACACTGCTTAGAAATCTGCTGTTCTGTAGTTGTAAAGAAAAAAAGATACATAAATACTCTTCTCACTTTTTTTCCCTCCAAGCTTTAACCAGACTTGGCAGGGGTCCAAGAGTCTGTCGGCATGAGTGTAACTCTTACTCGTCGCTCAGCGCCAAACACTTCCTGGTTACAAGAGCCTACCTTTTTCTCTCACAGGCTGCATTGCTTTCTTAGTCCTTGTTCATTGGGGAATTCAAAGTCTAATCGCGGCTATGTTTTCACTTCCATGACGCACAGAAAACCCAATTACTTACTGCAAGAAATGACACTGAAGGGAGCGTTCCCTCCGAGGTTTCCTTGTGTTTCTCACAGGGGACAGTTGCACTGAACCAGCTTGGTACAGATGAGAGCGAAGGCCCACAGATTTGGACACACAATAAAACATTGCCACAAAATAGCAATCTCAAAGCCATCTAAATAATCTGCAGGTAAAAGACGAGGTGAGAGAGGGAGTGCTGTGTTCAAGGCACTGCCTCCACGGCCCCCGAGATGAGGCTTTGAACTCAACGAGCAAAATCACCTCTTGAAGTTATACCGTTTTTCTCCCGGCTATTCAAACGTGGCGTGCAGACAAGATTAAAAGCCTTTCACACCAGTCAGCGGCTGAAAATTGACAGAAGATCCGTATTCTTTACCGCTGCAACTGATAAGGTTGAAGTGTAAATAACTCTGCCTTTGCAGGTGAGTTTACTACTTTAAGTTCTTTATTCTCTGGGCTCACGTTTCCATAGTTAACCTTTGATTCCATGAAGCATTTCCATAATTTATTTCTAGGTGTTATCCTAGAGGTGGTTTAATTTTCCTGATTTGTGTTTGATTAAGCAGAGGCTTAGAGACCTGGGAATCACATCATCACTTTTTAATTTATATTTGTTGTTTCTAAAAAGTACCTCTGGGATCTGAGGGTAAAACTGTTTGCCGCTCTATTTCAGACCTATGCAACTAAAATAGAATAATTTTTCTTCGGATTCTCTTTTGTCCAACAACGGGTCTATTTACTTGACACTACCGCTTCGGACTGACCAGGCATCACAACCTTTAAGTGCTCTGTGAAAAATACATAATCATGAAAAGAAAATGGTGGGTCACCGTTAGCCAGGTTGCTGGTCTGGTGACTGCTGGATCCATAGTGCATTAGCACGGAGGCATGCTGGCCGTCGGGGCGTGCAGGGAAGGGAGATGTCTGTGCAAACACAGGCCAGCGTGGAAGCACTGGAGTAATGGCACCTCAGACTGGTGCTGCTTTGAAACGGCCTCCACTCCCTCGTCCCCTTTCTCCAAAGGAATGCAGAGCCAGGCAAGATACAGACTTCATGGCGAGGCTCTTTAAAATTTCATAGCGCTGGGGAGTCATGCAGATAATCCTGGAGATGGCATTTTTATGTTAGGCTGGGGCCTTAGCGGGTTTAAAAGCACAAAGATTATCACATGGGCACCTGGGTTGCGAAGATTAAGCGGAGCCATCACACACCCTACGAGCTCCCCCCGCCCCACTTGCCTGTCGCCCTGGCCTTTTGTGTATAAGAGCTAGGCTTAAAGTGCCATGTTTTGGATGACGGGAGGCCACCGCAAGTCATTCGCCGCTGATCACAGGATTACTATTCACAGATAAGCTGCAGGTTCCCACACACACCGGCAGAAACGCACACACTCACACCTGTGCACGGATCATTGCACACATCAGAGACGTAGGGCAAGGTCTCTGTCCACTCGTCCCCAACCCTGCCATGCTACGCCATGCTTCTCACATGCCGTTCTGTTGTTTGACACCATGACTGTAGCACACAGACAAATATTGAGTTAAGCTGAGTCTAATCCAACTAACGCTGTTTGCGCTTCTCTACTCTTTCTTTCTCCAGTCGGCCCATACATCGGGAGGTACTGTGGGCAGAACACGCCAGGCAGGATCATCTCTTACACGGGCATCCTGGCACTGACAATCAACACTGACAGCGCCATCGCCAAGGAAGGCTTTTCAGCCAACTTTACCGTGATTGAAAGGACCGTTCCGGAGGGTGAGCTGAAAATCAATGAAAATCAGACTGATGTGGATGTCAAAACAAATCTGTATGTTGAGGTAGTGATCAGGATGAAATCACAATCCACTGACATTTGTACAGGGGATGAAAATCTGGATAAGAGTTAATTGATGAAGTCAAGGACAATAAAGCGACCCCGCAAGGAATATTATTATGGGAATAAGTAGCCGATCTTCTCTGGAACTGAAGCCACAAATGCTCCTATTATGAATTCCCACCCGTTTCACATAGTTTAAGAGTTATTAAATAAACACCTACTGCTGTTTCATTTGGGTCCACCTCCCGTGGTTTAAGAGTCCAACACATTTACACACCGTGAGCCCCAGACGGGCTCCAAAAGGCAGCTTCCCCACCAGCAACCACTCCCAAACACACAACCCCCAGGGCTTAACATACATTGCCGTCATCCAGGGGCTCGACCCCCTGACCCTGTACTGCAAAACGCTCCAGCTAAACATTTCATTAGGAAAGACGAGTGCTGGTGGAAGCCATAAATCTGTCCAGGGGCTAGACCACCCCAAGCGAACACAGTCGGCCTTTGAATAGCGATGGAGATGGATGACGTTCAACGAACCTACTAATCGTCTCCGAAAAGGTCTTGCCCAGAGGAAAAGTCAGACACTGAGCGCACACACATACAACCGGCCCCACCCCACAGCAATGAGCAATATTTACTGTTGTAATTCCTCCTCAGTTTCCTTACGAGTTACTTGACTGCTTACTGGTGAAATCAGATAATGTGAGATGTGCTTTTCACATTCCCCATTAAGAGGCATGGTTCATTTTCTGACCCCTGATCTGTAAATACCTTCATTTGCATGAGTCTTACGTGACCTACAACACAACCCGGATAGGAGAAATCTCTCCAAACTCTGAGCTTGTGCTATTCCAGTCTTGTATCTTGAATCATTCATAATCCCCTTCTGCATAATACAAGTTGGATTTTCTCGCCTCCGCATGGCAAGGGGAAGGGTACCACTACAGCTGAAAGCCACTGATGCAAGGTGATGAAAGAAGGCCTTGTCTTTTGTCCTTGCGCCGTTTCTCTTTCTTTCACCCCTCCAATCACCTTCCTCGCTCGTCCAACCACCCCCGCTATCTTCTCGGCTATCAGCCCCGCTTCAGTCGGTAACCCACATGATCAGATACCCTCCTCAGCCGTATACAAACGGCCCTTTGTGTTTCCGCTGATCATGATCCAGTCATCTACGTGCTATCTGCGTGTAATCCCGGGTGCAAAAGTTTGACGAGAACTTGCTGTCTCCTCAAAGAGCCGCCGAGGCCGGAGACGTGCTAGACAGTGTTCTCTTGCAAGCGTGTGCACGTACGTACATTGGAGGCCTCGCGTTGACACCGCGGAGTACAGAAGCATACGCTGGCCCAGTGACTGAGGTGTTTTAGCCTGATGGGGAGACCATCTGTGTTAGCTTGTAGGCAGCAGCTATATAGCAGCTCCGCACTGCTCCCAGTCCTGTGCCCTCTTAGTGAACGTGTGTGTGTTTGCGCACACACAAGCACATGACTGCATTTGGTGGGCCGTGTCTACACGGAAGCGTGAAACACTGTCAAGGTGCTTTATCATAAACTTCACCGCCAGGTGAAAATAGGAGCAAAAAGAAGAGTGATAGTCGACAGTAATGTGTGAAAGTGTGCCCTCACGCACCCCGGTGTTGTGACTTCATGCGAAAAGGTCACATCGTTTGTTGCAACCGGTGTGGTGTCGTCGGTCCTCTGCGGTGTCAGCATGTCTGACCTCTCGGGGTTAGACAGGCCGACCTCAAGGTGACCCAGCTGAGTCTTCAGTCACGTAACTCAGGAGGCCAAAAGGCTGCCCCATGTCAACACGGACAACGGACGTCACATTCCACCAAGGGTGTTTTCACCATGGTGAAATATAGCCCCAAAATACGGACCCAAAAATGGTCACTGTGTGCAAAAAAAAGATCAACCGCTCAGAGTAACAAATCCAGTCAGTAGAAGTCACTTTAACACCTAATTCTGGCAAATCTCACACCGCACTGAATGTTTTATGAGGACATGTTTCCGCCTTAATGCAAAACACTTCCATCCGGCCTCCATTAGGAGCTAAAGAGGGAGAAACAGGGAGGATTTACTGAGGCGTCTCTGATGCGCTGTTCTTTTCCAGCCAGCGGTGCTGAGTGCCTGTTGTGTGGTGTCCTCCTCCCCAGAGACGAGCCCTGATTCCTGGGGACATTGAAAGCAGGCCCGGGTACATTTTGGTGCCCTTGGTGCTCTTGATTTCACTAACACATCTTATTCATTCCCCTCAGACTTTGACTGCAGCGACCCTCTGGGAATGGAATCGGGAGAGATAACATCGGACCAAATCATGGCCTCGTCCCAGTACAACCCAAGCTGGTCCCCAGAGCGCTCAAGACTCAACTACTACGAAAATGCATGGACCCCAGCAGAGGACTCGAACAAAGAGTGGATACAGGTGGCGTAGTCTTTTTTCTCTATTCTCTAACAGGGGCTTTTCCATCATGGCTATTTGATTCAAATATCAGAGTAATGACGTTAACGGTAATTTTAGTTTTGGGGGAGAAGTAGAGAATAAATGAGGTACCATGGCAGTGTGTTTTTGGCAGCGAGTGACAGTCTGAAGGGTGCATGAGGTATTAGAAGTGACTGCTGCCTGCTTGAACACAGCAGGAGTGCTCTGTGTTCGTCCTTCAGTCTCTGGAGGTGCTGTGTTTCCCCACCGCTTTGACAAGACCAAACATTTTCGATGACGAATGTCAGACGTCCTGATGGACCTCAGGGCCTTATCCACTTTCTCTGTATGTCTATCCGTCTTTGTTTTTTCTCTCCCCTCTGTCCTACCTGATAGCATCCCCAATTCTCTGATAACATTGGCCGCCTCAGGGGATGCTGGGATTTAGTCCAGGCATCCTGCCCGTCCTCATACAAACACATACACACACCAAAACAGGGCCCTGTCATATTTTTCTCTCTGCCAGCTTATCTGCACAAAGCGATCATCAGCCACCGGGGGAACTTTATATGGAAAGATTAAGGATTTAGTTTGTCCAATCCCCAGATGGAGATAAGTCACATATCCCAAGTCCACTCACAGCACCGCCTCCCTACCTCCATCCCCACTACACCCCCCTGTGAAACATCCGCACTACCGGGATATGTTTGCCGCATGTCTGATTTATTACCCAAAAGACTCCAGGCCTTGTAAATGCCCAGACTGTTTTTTCTTCTTTCAACAGTCTTTGCCTCGTTTCTACAAATGTTTGGGCCCCTACATATTCCACGGGGGACGCATAATAGACCTGACCCTGAGCCAAATATTTGCTTGAAGAGGGCCATACGCAAGCTTTTCCTTTATTACTGCAATGAAAATATTTTCCTGAGGGCCCCCGTCGCTCCTTAAGACTAATTGAATCATTGTTGGAGCAGATGTGTGTGTGTGCGGGTTTGAAGTGCATTCTCCTGTGCGCATGTGTCCATGTGTGCGTTCCTGGCTTAGCAGGAGGGTCTGATCCTGGTCCATCTTATGCCACATGCATTTGAGTGGATCAGTAGGAACCATGGACTCCCTCGACACTTCCTCATGCGGTTGGATGTTGTATTGTATTAAAGCATTTTCTGAAAGGAAAGGCCACACAGATTATGTGTTTTAAGGATGGTAGCGTAATCTTTGTCAGTGGAAATTACAAGTGATCCCAACGATTTGTTGCCACTCTAGCCTTTCCCTGCTGTGGTATTGATCAGATTGAGGATTTGATTTGGCAATCAAAATTGGATTTGGCACTAATGGGGGTGCTTATTTCCCAATGCTAAAAAACTGAGTGGGGCTCCTCTTATTTTAGAGCCAAGTCTGTGGTTGCCACCTGATTTATGCCTTTCGAAGGAGTGCGATACACTTCTGCTGAGCACTCCGTGTGGAGGCCCAATTATCACAAGTGGTATTAAAATAGTTCTATTCTTCATTCCTCTTTCATTAGGCCTGTCCATGGTGCAACATGCTGTCGCGGCATGTACAAATCATCTCGGTGCACCGTCAGATGCATAGTGATCAATTCATTCATTATTTCATTATTATTCCCCAACTGCAGTTTGAGGACGACCGTTTTAATTATTCATGACAGCTGGCTGCTTTATTCCTGGGCTTTTTTCTTTTTTTTTTAACAAAATTCAGATCTGTCATCCATTTTGCCGCCTCATTCTAATGCACGGAGAGGATGGGGGCAAGATGCTTCTCTCTGGGTAACTAGATTGTGGTGGCATGGACATTAATCAGCCCCTTGGTGTACACAGAGATGGGCCGATGTCCTTTTGAGGGGGGTTGCAGCTTGAGGGGAGAGCAAAGAAAGAACCAATAATCCTTTATTTCATTTCTGTTCCTCTTGTTCCTTTCAGATCTTCTCAGTCCTTCCTTTTTTTCTCCTTATTCCTCTTTGACATGGGGGTCCACAGATCAAGGTAGAGAGTTTTGCATATTATATTCCAATGTCAGTCATGGCAGTTATTGAAAATTAGGAGGATGAACAGCAGGGGACTCCACAGCAGGTTACAGCAAAACTAATAAATCTGGGGTGCACACACACACACACACACACACTATCCAGCTCATGGGCTGATCCTTGGGCTCTGTGAACCCTCCTCAACGCAAATGTGAATGACACATAACACTGCGTCTCTGAGAGGAAGCTAAAGCATTTTTGCCGGTTCTCTGGGAAGCGTGACAGTGGGGTGAAATAGAAAGTGTGGAATGACTTCGTCAAATATGACAATGAACTGATGGTCATGACCATCAGTTCATTGTCATATTTGACGAAGAGTCAGCATATCACCTGAATGATGCGATAAAACCCTCAACCGGATCTCCGTCAGGCAGCTGAACTTGATTGCGTATACACACACACACACACACACACACACACACACACACAACATGAATAATTTACGCTGCACTGGAAAGAACCCAACTGTCAATACCTGAAAGCCTCTCATAACGGCAATATGCAGTGGGTTTTCCATTGAGCTTACTTTGCTCTCTTGGTCTATAATTTAGCAATGTGTCTCCTGCCATTATTATCTTACCAGGTTGCATGATGCCTTAATTAGCTCACTGGTATTTATCAGCCTTTATATGATGATGATAACCTACATTTGTTTAATCAGACAAGGAGATAGCGAGTCCCTTATACCTTTTGTCATTCAAGATATGCTTTTAATCTTACTTATCTGACAGCTGACAGCATTATCCATGAGAAGCATTTCAGGTTTATTTGCACAACATGTGGCTTTATGGGGAGCTGTGTGTTCCATGACGCACACGGCACTTGGCAAAGATAAAAGGTTGAGTTTTTCTTGCTGACCAACCAAACAATCACTAACTCCTAACTTCATCAACGCAAACATTGCTCCGGTCGCTTAGGCGCTCGCCCCCCACCCCGCGCGTTCAGGGGCTAATGTCAGAACCTAGACCTGCGCTCTGTGGCTTATCCTGCAGACACCAATGGGCTCCCAATTACCATAGGTCAATGAGTCGCCGAAAAGTCCCCCGTTACAGGCCTCACCGCCATGCAGAGGGATAAGCAATTAGAATACGGGGCGGTAATTAACAGTGGCTTCTCCGTTGATGAAGTCCAGCGATGGCGGAGGAGTCAAGGCTGGCATGTGGCCGCTAGTGAGATCACCGCCACGTTGCACGAAAAGAAACAATGGATGCTCTCTGTGCCCCGCCGCTCCCGGGCCTCACTCTCAATTGGAAAATCAATGACAGGATAGAGGCTCACGCTCGAGTGGAGTAGCCCAAAAGTGCGACCAGAAATCGAAACATGAGGAATGGCATGATGTAATGAAACGAGACAGTGCCGCTTAAGTACCTTGAGACAAAAACTGCCGTCATCAGTGTGATTTTCAGCATCTGCACCGAAGACAAAAATAATAAAACTAGATCTAGTCAGCCACTATGCGCAGCTTTGAATCGTGGGAAAGAATTTTCAAGCAGCTTGCAGACGTGACACACCATCATGTCGCACTCATTTCCTTCCTGATTACTGTTTCTTAGTTTCATAACTATGACTGAGGGTGTTGTCATGTGCATGTTGAAACAATGGGGTTGACCCAGCTGTTTTAAAGGTGATTCAAAAGGAAGGAATAATATCGTTAAGAAAAAAGTTTCCTTTTAACAGCTGGGCTGTTTAAGGCAGCTTAATCATACAATGGCACATATCTGAGCACTTCACTCACAACAAACCAGACAACGCTTTATTCAAAAGGGGCTGTCACCCTGCCCATAACCTTCTTTTTTAGGGGAAAAAATAGACAATCGCTGCACTGGAACGCGTGCATAATTTAATGGCCGCAAGGAGGTGTTAGGGGATGCTAAAAATAGACTCAGGTGAACACCATGATAAATGGAAGGTCGTGGACAGGGAGCTCAGAGGACCCGCAGCATTTCAGTTATACAATTTTCAAGGAAGGAGAATTAATTACAGTTTCAGGTAATGGAGCTATTACAAAAAGCTTCCGCTACCAAAGCCCTTTAGGTGAAATTAGGGAAAAGAGTGCTGGAATACTGCGTCTGGGTTTACAAACCATCTCTTCAGCTGCACTAGGAAGTACGTGTTTATGTCCGTTTGTAAAAATATAATCTCTAATATTACCAACATGAAACTCGGAGCTTGTATGCGGAAAATCTCCCCGCTCCCCGAAAAAGGTTCTGCATGTTCTTGATATTCCGAGACGCTATAACATCCTATAATAAAGCATTTCCAGAGGTTGTAAAGAAGGAAGGCAGGGGCTCTGTTTATGTGTAGCAGCTGCCTCTTAGACTTTAGAACACATATGAGTTCTCCACCCTCCCTCAGCCTCTGCATTTTTTTCTTGTTGTTTTTGGTGAGGGAAAACAGATAAACTTGTTCCCCAGAGGCCTCGGTTATTTAGTCAGCCCCTACGCCCGAACCCTCACCTCACCCACACACAGATTTAGAAGCTGGAATTATAAGAAAGTACTCAGTAAACTTCTCCCAACGGACGGATTGCTGCATGCATCTCTTTGCCAACTCAATTATCGGCCAATCAAGCGGCTAGAACTAATGCTTTGGAGCCTTTGCTGTTCCTTGAATGTCGTCTTCCCCTCCGGTCATTGTAAACCACATGTGTCCTCGCTGCACCCACATAACAATGACTGGCCTTAACCACGTATCATGTGGCCTTCATGCAAATCTGAGTCAGTCAGCACAGGGACAAAATGAAGCAACGGAAGGACCAAACAATCACACGCCCACAGCTGCTACTGCTGTTGAGTAATAATTGGAAAAAGATTTCTTGAAACTTGTAGGAACACACACTAATACATAAAGCCATGGCCACGTCATTCCATAACAGTCATCCGCCCCACACACGTCTCAATCAAATGCCAGATGCGTATTTCAGTACAGTTCATCTAAATACATACACACAAGGCTTCAACGGACCGATGTTAGAAGCAAGGGCACAAATCGTTTTTCTGCCTCTCTGGTTTTATTTTTTATGGACAGGAAGCCAGTGTAAAGACCTCAAAACTCAAGTGATGTCTTAGTGTTAGTAAGGACTTGAGCTCCAGCAGTCAGAATCATCTGCGGTTGTCTCATTGACTTGTTACAGACCTGTGAACACACTGTTACAACAGTCTAGTCTACTGATGATGAATGAATGGACTCTAAATCCTGTTGAGACATAAGTGCTCTAATCCTAACATCTATCCAATATATTCTTCATGTGATAATAGGCTGATTTTGTAATTGTCTTTATATAACTGTTCAGATTGAGGTTTGCATTCATAATGCATAATTGAATTCATCTGTGAATTTTCCTATTGTGGGACTAATAAAGGAATATCTTATCTTATAACCACACCTAGATTCCTGGCATGGTTTGTGGTCTTTTGTCATTAGTGATTAAAGCTGAGCGCTGGCAAGGGACTTTGAGTCATCTGTTTCGCTCACAACCAGCAGGGAGAGAACAGTCAAAACACAGACGTAGTTCGCCGGAAAACAAACTCTTGGGTTACAAAGACGCATAGAGCCACACATCAGCCTGCCTTTGCTCCATGGAGAGATTCTGCAAAATCTCTGTGATTTCTTACCTCAGCCGGGCATGTTTATAACTCAGTCTTTGTGTGTGTGCGTGTGCCCCTCCAGATATGAGTTACTGTGCACGAGTAAGCCCAGAATGCATGGTGTAATTTGTCTATAGGTGGGCTTTGGTCCAAACACGCACTCTCACAGGAGAAATAACAATATGGTGAATGAGTACCAGACACAAGCTCCATTCTGTTGGATCAGCACAGGCTCAACACGCAGCACATCCCTGTAGATGCTAGATTAGGGAGCCATAATTCACACCTCTCCGCCTCGTGATTACATCACCCATTAAGCACATTTCTGCCTATCAGGGGCTCGATGACAAATAGTTTATCATCTGAGAGTGATATACCGGCCAGTGATGCACTGCTTGCAATTTCTAAATGTTGGTGTAGGTCAGCAAGTGCTGTCTGTGGCTCTCGGCTAAAAGGAGTCCCACTATCAATAATTATCGGGGCCTGTTTGTTTTAACCGTGGTCTCTGTGGTCTTGGACGGACTGTGCTTTACATCCAAATGTCCTGGCAGTCCACTCACCCTGACCCGTGTAACCCCCGGCAGGCTCTGCCTTGTTCCTTGGCCTCTAACAAGTAGACATTAATAAATCACGCCTCGCTCATTACCCAGGCTCTGTTCTCAGCCCACGTCTGGGAAATTGATCTGATTAGTGAACCTCTTCACTGGAGACCCCATGCCCTCGTCCAATGAAGTGTGCAAGAATATGACTATTATTGTTATTATTAGTTGACACTGAATGCAATGTGCTGGAGTCCTCACCAACCTCGATCAAGTGAGCATGCCCGCTGAGATGTAAACCATTAATAATAAAAAAATAATTTTGTTTGTGTTTGTGTGATGAACTGTATTATATGGTACGTTTTACAATGCTGAAAACCTTGATACATTATACATTTGACCCTTTTCATATTCCATGCTCATGTTGTGAGATTGTTGGAGTTTGAGCACCCAGGAGTGTTCCCAATTATCCCCGCCACTCATTTCATTGCCAAGGGCTCTTCCTCTTCATTACACTTAATGAGGTATTTTTAAGAGAAACATCCCAAGGCCAACTTCTCCTATTATTCCTTTATTTAAGTAGACCTTTTCAGTAAGCCACTTTTCCATTGGCGCGCAATGGAAATGATTCAGGCTGGCCATTTGACCACAGATGTTAAAGACCTGCCTGGGCTAATATATACCTACCCAGGCTGTGATGCCATCCTGCTACGCTTTCTTCATCCAGCGCTGCCAGATATGGCTTCTTACCCAACAGAGAGGAAATAAGCTCCTGGGTTATTAAATGGGAACCGCCTGAAGCTGAAGGGATTTGATTTTGTCTCTATTTGTGGACCTAAACAAAATCTGGGACTTACTGTATAAGCCCCTTGGGCAAGTAGACATGAACAAAGGTATTCCTTCTTTGTATGTGACTGGTCTTTTTTTTGTTAGTCTCCATCCATCCAAATCCTTTGAGCAGCGAGAGGGGGAAATAGCATGGTGGAACATCATTTATTGCTCCCATCTGTTTATGTTTTTTTACTTTTGGAAGTGAATATTGATCAGCGAGATGTTCCTTTCCTGCACTTTGCTCCGGCGCGGTGCTGTATACACGGCTGCTACGAGAGAAGGCTTCGACTGCGTGGCTTTAGCATGCTGGAGCTCTGTGGAGTTTGTTGGTGGCAGATCACCCTGCCTCTGATTTTCGAAAATATGTGCGGTCTCCTGTGTCTGCCTGCTCACTTCCACATGAAGGACTTCACTGGTTTCTTACACACCCTCGCAGGTGCACATACCTCGGCACCCTGCTCGAGACCCCCCATCCCATCTCAGTTCAACACCAAAGCCTTCGCCTCTCATCGTTTCCCTGGAAACCCCGTTCCGCCAACGCCCCATCTTCCTGCCAAGCTGCTGCACGCGTTAGCAAGGCCGTTACTCCTCATTAACGTCATCTCAGCCTGTCAGAGACTGTGTTAATGCTTGTTCAACTCAAACCCGCTGCTCCATACGCAGAGGAGTTAGCAATGCTTTTACAGCCTTGCAGTTTCTTACACGCTCGCTCTTTTTCTCTATTATGGATGGAGGGATGATACGGCGGGGGTTAACTAGCCCCTAGAGGTCAGAGTGAGACTTGAAACTTATTAAATCTGGTGGCTGAAAGATTCCTTTTGTGTCTCAGAGCTAACAAAAGCTGACCTAACCGCTAAGGTATGCAGCGTTTACATTATCAAACGCCAGTTTGAAGGCTATTCTTACCACAGAAACAGAAGCCACGTGTGTGTGTGTTTGTTTTCTCTTTTATGGCAACGATAGTTCTGATGCAAGCCAGCATCATCTCTGAATCCTTTCCCCACACACAAAGCACATACATATGTAGATGTGACTACAGAACAGATATACACCAAGAAGCTAGCTCACGTGCCACGCTGACCTCACCGGCTCTGGCTTTCTTCTTGCAATAGCCTTCCAGTAATTTACTCCAGTTTATGATTACTTCATAAAGCCTCGCATATTTTAAAGATACAATATTTGATATTGAATCTGTATCTCTCTTACCTCCTGGCCAATTTTGATAATGGGATTGCAGACCCCGCTCTTGTCAAGATTCACTTCTATCCAATAAGCCCTTGTCTCCCATCTCAGGAAATTAAGTTGTCATCCTGTGTCTCTTTCATTAATGTGGGTATCATTTCATTGCTATTTATTAAATTCCCAAGTAGCGGAGGTGATTCTAATAGCAGAGGTATATTTTTAACTCTCGGAGGGTGTCCTATGCGTCACTGATACAGTATGCAGTTATTTTGACATTCACGCATATTTTAGCTGTGTCTGCCTGAGTTAATCAGCATTCTCCCGTACATTAAAAGGGAAAATCTTTTTAAGCTGCGTTGTCGAATATGGCTCTTCTCTCTTTTACCCCTTCACAGGTGGACCTTGGGTTCTTGCGGTTCGTCTCGGCCATTGGCACGCAGGGCGCTGTTTCCCAGGAGACCCGGAAGATCTACTTTGTCAAGTCCTACAAAGTGGATGTCAGCTCCAATGGAGAAGACTGGATCACTTTGAAGGAAGGCTCCAAACAAAAGGTAGGAGACTCAAATCATTAACTCGACTGTGATTTCAAACTTCATTAGCCTGCAAACATGTACTAAACTTGAAAGATCTTGTCTCGCTAAAGAAGCCAGCTGACTTGAATTGTGGTCAATTCCAAGTTGTCTTTGAGCTTGAGTGTCTGTCTCCCAACAAGCGATTATACACTTTCCTCTGCATGATATGCAAGTGGCTGTTTCTTTTCCAACCAGACTGCAGTAGCTATAGGGAGGATTATGTAAGGAATGTAGCCTCTGTTTTATGTCAGGCACCCGTCAACTTGTTGTAAATGAAGCTCGCGATGACAAAAGCCTTGACAAACAAGAGTTTAAGTTGACAGGGAAAGAAGGAAACAAGGATAGCCTTTCATGTTTGAGCAGCTGGTGGAGGAGTGTCCAGGATAGAGGGAAAAGAAGAGGGAGGGAGCGCATGCTCAACCGGAGCGCGACAGGTTGTAACCATCGACTGCTGGTCGGACCAGATTTTGCCCAGCTGGACGCAAATACCCCATTGATTGTGGGTGTCCGTTTGTCACCAGCAACAGAGTGTCCAAACAACTGCGTTGTGCCGCCGTGTCACAAACCCCTGGGCCTGGTTATGTCATGGTTTGCAAAGTACACAGCCCCTGTAAAGTGGCAGCTTATATGTACCGAGAACAGGCCCAACCACTGTTTTTTCAGACTCTAAAGTGCTTTTGTGCGGAAGGGCCCCCTTTGCTACATGCTGAGCTTGCAGTTTGGAGACCAGGCGCAGCTCTTGAAAAGCCACTTTACAGTTTCACAGAGAAGAGACCCTGCGTGACATTTAAGAGAGTGGTTGACTATGTTGCTGCCTCTTACTGATGTGCTTGATGGGTATTGCCCATGGACTGGGTTGAAGAAAGACTGCACTTACTATCGGATCAGACCAGGTGTTGTTTTAGTTCATCCTAAATTAGCTGAACTAGTTAGCTTTCTATCTGTCATCCCGCTCGTCTCTGCTGGACTCTTCCCCACAGCTACTCCATCGGGGAGGTCAAAAGGTCATGAAGTCACGGAAGTGATTCAATTACCCAGAATGAACTGTGACGGACTGTGGGGAGTTGTTTTGCCGGCCTCTTGTATGCCCGCTGGTAAACTGTCAACAAACCTCAGGGGAGAACATTGGCATCTCTGACCTTTAAACAAGACACTGCAGTAAAAACCCCACTAAATCGGGTAGCAGAGGAAAGCAATCAGGGCATCTTGAGCCAATCTGGACTTGTCAATGTTGCACATACTGCCTCAGGTTTCGCATTCACAGTGTACTGCCCGGTTGGGCTGCTTCGTCTGGCACAAATGGAAGTGCTAGCTGTGACCGATGTCACATTTTACACACATTAAATGTCTTTTCAAATTTAGATTTACACGTTTGAGCATCTTGACTCAGAACACAATCACTCAATTCTAGCTTTCTTGCTTGTTCATTTTCAGATTTCCGAAGACTAATCTCATCAAATGAGATTCTTCCTCTCACCTCTGCTCTCTTGTTTCATGTTTCAATGTAGCCAAGGTCTCAAACAAGCTTTCAAACCAACTTGTGTTGGTGTCAATAATCTACTTTCCTTCTTTCTCTATTGCAGGTTTTTCAAGGCAACACTAACCCAATAGATGTTGCCAAGACGATGCTGCCCAAACCCACGCTGACGCGCTTTGTCCGGATCCGTCCCGTTACCTGGGAAACAGGCATCGCACTGCGCTTCGAGGTGTATGGATGTAAGATATCAGGTTGGTACTGCCGAGATCCCTGCTGATCTGCATACACGCACACATCTCAGCTATCTTGGCTCAAAGCTGCCACTGAAAATGCTGCATTATGCTGCTTGTATTCTTATCACATCAGATAATGCCACTTTAGACGTCTGCGCATGCCCCGGTATCAGCTCCCTTATGTTGCAGCTTATACTGGGTATTTCCCCACTCGGGTCCCAGTTGCACAAACATCTTACTTCTGCGAGGTGTGAGATGAAGGTCTGTTTCTGCAACAGTCCTGCTCTTAAGCTAAAGCTAGCTGATGCATTATAGAGGAGTGGCACATGAAGGACGATTACCTATTTATGTTACCCATGTTTAGATGTACCTCATTCAATATAGATGGTCCCTCCATCTGGAGGGCAGAGTAAGTTACAGCTGGGCGGGATCTACACGGCCCTTCCCCTCCTGATGTGCCAGTCGCAGCCTCCTCTTTAGCTACAGCCTGTGGTTTGCGTACAGAAATTAGATTTTGGCAAAGCTCCTCTCATCATCTACTATTTCGTTGATGCTATTTTAACAAGGGGTGTCATTTGGTTTTAGTCCATCCGTCTGCATTTCAATTTGTTAGTGTTGAATGTTAATTAGTGCTCGTCTGTGTGTTTTGTTTGTCTGTACTTGGATAGGGAGGATATCTTACAAGGACAGCTATTTGTTGTCAATGTTGTTGGTCCAGCATTAAACCTTGGATTACAGTTAAGGCTCTGGATTAGTTGTAGCCAGCCAAATGTGCTCATATGTGTTGTGTGTGTGTGTTTGTATTTATGCATCACATATGTGTGGCTCTTCATGTAATAGCAGAGGGCAGTGCGGATACAGTAGGGTTACAGCTGGTACGTGTGTTTTGGGCGCACAACCAGACCGCTGCACAAATCCTGAACACATCACACGGCCGAAGTTTACCACAAGTTCTCCATAAGGACGTCAGCACCCTTGGGTGCTGTGAAATCACTGCCAGCTTCACTGCATGCTCACATCGCAGTCGGAGAGAGCAAATGCTGCTTGGCTCTCGGGGGCTGTATAAACCCAGTGACTCACTCCAATCTACCTCAAGCTACGACACTTTTGTTAAAGAAAATAAATTCTATACATAGCACACCAAAATTGAGCTACATAAAACTATCAAAGCATGTGCCCATCTTCCAATTACAATGTCAAGACCATATGTCAGGCATCACGTTACAGAATGTTAGAGAATGTTGCTAGATGTTTCTCCCTTGATCATCATGGCCGCATGCCCCCGCTGACACACACAGTTATTCATTAATAAAAGGATCCACCACCTGGTTGTTTGTGAATTCACCATGATGTAAAAATACCTCAGAATGAACCACTGATGCTCTACCCAAACCCTAAAAGAAGAACACGTGTCACCATCTTTGCGCTGGCAGTCCACACACAAGTTGTGTTCTCTGGGTGTGTCATTGCCAAACCATAATCTATGCAACTTCAATGATTGCAGCTGAAGCTGATAAAGAGCTCCAGATGGGGAGTCTAAACTTAGATCAGGAACACACATATACCTATTTCTACATCCCTCCCTCACTTCAAAGACTGCTCTATCCTCACTGCCAGCGTTTACTCCTTATGATGCGATTCTAATTCAGAGATTTGTCTCACGGGTCTGCACAGGAACTGTTTTAGATAAGCGGAAGGAGAAAAAAGTTTGAATGAGGCCCTGTTCTCCAAAATCGTTTGCTTGTCTTTTCCCAGATGAAGTCTGGTTGAGTCCTGCAGCGGTATAGTGCACACTTTGTCTCAGACAGACACAGAAATGTAATAATGTCCAGATTTATCCCTCTGTGGGAGCTAGATAGTAAATGGTATTGCTTACCACAGGTCCCTGACTCAGTGTCTTGGGATTAGGGAAAAGACGTAAAGGAAGGTTCACCCAGAATACATCTGCAGTGTCAGAACTCAAAAGAGGATCTGACACTTTTTTGAGCTGCAGTGAAATTAGAAATGAAACTGCCCCCCTAACTTCTCAAAGTAGTCTGGAAGTACAACAGTGTAAAGACTCATTTAAAACTTAACCTAAGATTTTAAATTGTAAATTTGGATATTTTATGTGGACCCCCAAGCTGGGTAAGACACAAAAACTGCAACCAGTGTCCCAAAACTAGTACTGTGCTCTAGAAATGTCAGGTTGTTAGGTTGGATTTGGCCTGGATCACAGTGACAATAAGTTATTGTCATTACCAAGGAATCAATAACATTTCATTAGAGAAGAAAGCACTGTGCTGGATCATGAAAAATTCAGGTTTAAACATGCAACTGCATCTGAGCCGCAGCAACAGGTCTTTATCCTGTTCGGCTTTTGATACACAGGGATGGCATCAATGGGGGAAAGAAAAATGAAAACAGCTGTCTCCCTTTAAAAAAACACATCCAAAGAAGCTAATGAAAAGCGCTGGGATAGGGGTAAGATCAGAGAAGTAGAATAAAGGCGTAGAAGAAAGTCTGAAAATCTGGACAGAAAACAACAAAGTATTAAAATACACAGATGTTGACAGCTGTGGAGCAGAAGGTGCAGCAGCAGATAAAACACAAAAGAGAATGTGTTTTTGCGTGTAGGTAAATGTGAGTCTACAGAGGGAGGAGGGGGTGGATAAAGGAGATGAAAAGAAATAGCCCTCCCAGAACGTGCAGGACGTGGAAGTACCCACCCAGAGGTGGGATTTAATTGGCTGCCTGGAGACAACCGCTTCAGGCAAATTAATTAGTATGCATGGGATCTTCAGACAGAGAGAAGAGAGGCTGAGATCTCAGGAACATCACAAAGAGTTTGGGGAATTGTCCTCCTCACTTTGATTTTCACCATCCCTGTAGCCCCTATTTGAATCTCAAACTCACCAGTTGAACTTGTCGCGTGGTAAATGGTGATGGACATCATGTTCATATCAGGAAATTATTTTGGTGCCCATTGTCCCTGCTGCTTTTCATTCGTGCTAAAAATGCTAAGCACCGATTTCTATTGCAGAGTACCCGTGCTCCGGCATGCTGGGCATGGTATCGGGTTTGATCACCGACAACCAGATCACTGCATCCTCCCATACGGACCGGAGCTGGGTACCGGAGAACGCCCGCCTTCTGACCAGCAGGACGGGTTGGACCCTGCTGCCTCAGCCCCAGCCCTTCACCAGCGAGTGGCTGCAGGTGGATCTTGGTGAGGACAAGGTGGTGAAAGGGTTGATCATCCAGGGAGGGAAGCACCGTGAGAACAAGGTCTTCATGAAGAAGTTTCGCCTTGGCTACAGCAACAATGGATCTGACTGGAGGATGGTGTTGGACACCAGTGGGAACAAGCCAAAGGTGAGAGTAGTTTTCAGTGTTTTTCTGACAAGTCTGAAGCATAACCCTAGATAAAGTACCCTTAATTTTTGTTTTAAGGTAAAGGTTATTTCAAGAAATATGGGTAGGAAATAGATTGATTCATAACACAAACCAAAAGGTAAGTTTTACTTTCAGCATTAGGGAAAACAATTTAAAGGTACTTCCCTAAAAGGTCCCGTCAATTCCGATTTAGTCACCAGGGTCTTGCGACTGGCAGTTGTGAGTCATTCAACAGTCGTTGCGAGTCAATTTCAGCAGTGCTTTGAATCACATTAGGATAAGCATCGCAAGTCTCACCGAGCCTTCTCCCACCTTTATCCTCCTGCTTTGTATTCTGCATGACACCCGCCGTTCAACCCCTTTCAATGGGTAGTGAAACCTCTCGAGAGAGGAAGGAGGGGTGAGGGGAGCCAACGGAAAACAGGGGATGAAAGACAAGGACGAGAGTGAAGGGAAATAATGTAAAACAGAGAGACGTGCCCCGAGATTTATCTGATGGTGTCAAGGCACGCACTGGAAACAGACGCCAACAATTTCCTCAACTGTTGGCGTCTGTTTCGGGTGCGTGCCTATATACATACTGGTACAGTTTGGACACACTTTGTCAGTTAAGACAAAGTGTGTCCAATGAGCACGTACATACACAATACTGCACATCTCCAGGAGCTCAAGGCTCCCTAATTACAAGTGTCCCTGACTGGGCATGAATCTGATCCAGATGGTCTGATGGTTGATTCATGAAGGGATCCATACCCCCTCCCCCCCATCCTGTCCTAGTTAGCAGCCTCTCTCCCCTTGCCTGAGAGGTTCCCAGCATCAGAGGTGCACCAGTCTCCTTCACGTGATCACAGCATTAATCCACTTCCATCGTTTTGCCTCTTTTGCCTGCTATTCTTGCATCCTACATTCTCGCCTGTTCCTTCATGTATTTCTCTGCTCAAGAAGGATCTAAAGGAAGCAAAAGTTGCGTTTGACGGCCCTGTGTGTCGTGCTGTCAAGGTGTCAGCAAGATGAGAGAGATCAGGTCATCTCCTGTTCATTCTTCTTACTTACGTACCCAGCACATGCCACCGGTCCAGCCCACTTCTGGTTTTCAGAAGGCAGGGATAAGTCTGCCTCAGGGTATCTGCATTTGAAGAGCTGCATCAGTCAAAAGCCCGGCAGTGACATCATCCGCAATATTGTCTTTTTTTTCACTCACTCTTTCCTTCTCTGTCTTTGTCCCTCTTCCTCCCACCTTTTCTCCCACCTTTGCTGGGCAGATGTTTGAAGGGAATAGCAACTACGACAGTCCTGAGCTGAGGACGGTGGAGCCCCTGCTGACGCGCTTCATCAGAATTTACCCGGAGAGGGCCACTCCTGCTGGCATGGGCCTGCGGCTTGAGCTTCTGGGCTGCGAGATGGAAGGTAAACTGGAACTTGTTGAAGGTGTTACTTTGATGAAGAATATGCAAAAAGGGCATTGTTATGTCTGCCATTAATAAAATGTTTACCTCTCAACCGGCAGATACAACGCTTCCACTAACAGTGGCAAAATGACTTCCCAGGGTGATTTTTCCCATGGAAATGTCCTTTCCAGCTCTTTTAACCATGGCGATGAAATTTTCCCTCCTGGTATTGAGTTTTTTTTTGGATAGAACATTAATACATACAACCAAACCATCCTTACTGGACACACCTTGACCCTGAGACATTTGACATGTCCCATGACCCACTCAAACATGAGCCATCTATCTTAGCCGATGACATGGCTGCAAGTAGTTTGCGCCTGATGACTTTGCCACAAACACGGTTATTTAAAGATGTGTTGGCTCCCTGTGTTGAGCACCCAGCTGTCCAGCTCTTGCTCTTCTTTAACCCTACAAAGTGACAGTTGTCTTGTCTTCCGGTTACATCAAAGCTGCCTCCGTAGCTTGCCACTTCTAGAGTGCTACAGATGAAAGCCCACCGGGCCTCGTAGGATTATTGCAGCCTGGCCCCCATCGCACTCTTCCCAACCCCTTCCTTGCACGTCTCTCTTCTTTCAAAGGACTGTACACGCTTCGCTATCTTTAAAATGACCCCTCTTCTTTTCCCCCTGTTCTTTATGTGCTTCTCTCAATACTGAAGTAGCAGAAAAACAGCTCAGCAATATAAGAGTGTGTAGCGCGCTGGCCCTAAGTGGATTTACATATTGGATTTCAGGGAGGCCAATTCTGTTGTAAGCCTCGTGGACTCCCACCGGGAGCTTTAGATGATAATGCTTGTTTTCAGTGTTAATGCCAAACACACAAATGTTCACACAGACGTCCACACAAGCACACACAGACTCACTCACACACACACACAGAACACACGATCGCAATCACTCGGCCAAATATGTGATTACAGGCATTAATACACAATGAAGCAAGTACACAGGTGCTCGCACTAGTGTGTACAAGCGTTTGTGTGCACCAAGCAAGCCATGGCAGCAGGGCTAAATCCTCATTTTTGTGAAAGGTTTGCCTGATGTAGCGCTGACCCCATCCCTGACCCTCCCCACCCTGAATCTGACAGGGGCTTATCTGCCTCATATTTCATCTAGCACAGGGAGAGAGCGGACGCATTGGCTCACACGCACACAGATATGGTCCATATCCATTTTTCAGGCAGTTTTCCCCCTTTCCCTATGCCCCCTTCTCCCTCCGTCTCTCCCCTCCTCTCGATCATTACTTTGTCAGTATAAACACACACAAATGCACACACACCGCAGGACGGTTCTGGCAGTGGAGCATGGAGTGGATCTAGGACCAGGCCCACACCAAGTGTAATCATAGGCAAATATAGCAGCCAGTGGTCCTGCCAATACCCAATCCAAAGCCCTGTTTCTAAATTTTTAAGGTTCTAGCCCCCCCAATCTCTGAGGAACCACTTCAACTATATTTATACACCCTCACCTCCACAGCATGATAAAAGGAGGGATGCTAATAGGTCAAACCTGAATTGAAGCCCGATGGGTAACTGTGGGCAGAACATGCAAAGCTTCTGAATACATATAGCAGTGTTCTTTTTTTGCTATATGCTATTTAAACTATGAAACAGGCTGGAACCCCACTTTTTCTCACTACATTATTTTTCAATGTTTGGTTATCTGATTAGGTGTTAACCTTTTTCTGGCTTTGGACAAAAGTGCAGAATGAATGTGTTGGGTCTTCAAGTTCTGGAGCACTTTTCATTTTCAAATTACAGACAGTGATAAGACCAAAACCACTGACATGTAATGTTACTTTATATTACATGAAGCTTTTATCCAACGCAACTTACAATAAGTGTTCCGCTCAAGCCACAGGGGCACATCTGCACACCTTCTGAACAACAAAGTATTTCCAACCTGAAATCTAATCTATATAAATCTGCCCTTCTCCTCTGCCTTTACAGCTCCTACACTCTCCCCTACCACCCTCGTCCCGAGCACTACTCCGTCGGACGAGTGTGACGATGACCAGGCGAGCTGCCACAGCGGCACAGGTGATGACTACGACGTGACAGGTGCTAACATCGCCCTCATGAGACTGCACCCCTTTTCAATCCTCCTCACCTCCACCAACATCTCTTACACTTCTGTCTACCTTGGCTGACACTCTTTCTGCTCCACTTTTCCAGCTTCGCCCCTCTCTTTTATGGTGGAATTTGATACTGCAGCACGCATCCCTGTGCTCACTGGCGTGCACCCTGCTCTAGTTATCTGCACCTGTAGCTTCCCTCTTCCCCTTTTACCTCTGGCCTCGGCAAAGCCGCATCAAACAATTGTCACACTTGCTCTGGTGTTGGCCAAACGCACACCCCTGCTTCAAAACCTACCAGCTGCCAGCTCTGCCTCGCTCCCTATCCTTTCATCACCCGCCTTGTCCGCCTGCTCAATCGTTTCCACGTACTCTTCTCGGCCTCATTTTCCACTAACCCACTAACTCTGCGAGCCTGCACCACAGCCTGCACTCCCCATTAACCAGCAGTCTCCAATGATGAGCATGGCACGATTTCAGTCACGTATTTTGGAAGTATTACATTAAGTGTGTCACGGTAGATACAGAGACTTAAGGTGTGTGGTTGTTAGCAAGATTTAGCAAGTGAGGATTCAGGTGCATAAGTCCTGTAAAAATGTAAAAAAAAAAAAAAAAAGAGGTCTTGCCATTGCTAGGCTAACTGTTCCAATGTGTTGTGTTCTGACAGGGGGTACCACGATACCAGAGACCACTACTGCTGATGTGGATGGCATCGCAGGTAAGAAAATTGTATTATATTTGCTTTTCCCAACAATAATTCCACATCTTAAGCATATTCAAAGATGACATGCCAGAATTTTAAAAATAAATAAGTAAATGTTGAACAGCTCTTTGTTTTTATTTTTTATTTAATTCATTTTCACAGATTCATTGTGAAGCATAACTTAGCTCATGAATGCCAGCTCATTGCGGTCTCAATTGTCCCGCTGTGTGTCCGTTATTAAAGCTGATGATATGGTCCAGAGAGGCTCGTGCTGACAGGGTGAGGGAGGTTGTGTCATGCAGAGCTAGCTGATGATTAGCACTGGTGCTCTGTTGCTGCCTCCTCAGCATAATCACTAATCACCGGTCCGACACTGATTCACACTAAACACACACACACACACACACACGCAACACGCCACAAAAACAGTGAAAAAACAATGCAAATGACCACAGGAAATTGGGTGTGCTTAGGGCTCACTAACAGAGACACGCGCACAAACAAACACACACACACTGTTGTTTCCTGTAGCAGGTTGATGAGGCAGCAGCCAGCTGAGAGGGTGTGCCCCCGTCTGACCTTGGCTAATGGGCCATAGGCTCCAGCAAGCCCCCTTCACTCTGTCTGCAATCTGCTGGGGCTCCAGAGATGATAGATGAGAGCTGAGCTGTGCATGTGCATATTTGCGTCGTCTGTATGAACCTACCTACATTTCTGTTGGTAAACACTTATCCGCCTGTCTTTTTATTTCAAGAGTCTCCAACCTTGCGTGCTAATGTATGCAAGTGTGCGTCCCCGTCCGCTTGGGTGTGTGTGCGCCGTGCACTACAATCTTGGAAGATGTAGTTTCTTTTGGCATTTGGCAAGAAAAAGTCTCTTTTCATCAAACGACCTGAAGTATAGCCGCTCATCTTATCCAGAGCATGTTGGTAGCCTCAGTCAAAGCCTCCCAAGAATGGAAAAAAAATCCCAAGTCATTAATTGGGAATGGAACGTCTCGCCGCAGGAAAAAAAAATGCTTGGCGTCTGAAATGCGGTTCCACATGGGAATTCCATCCTTTGTGTTTAATGGGTAAATTGAGTCGATGCCTGTAGAAGCTAGTTAAATTCCTCCCATTATTAAAGAGAATATTGGCTCATACATTCTGTCACCCAGAGATCCGCCTGACTGTATCTCTAAAGGCATCTCATTCGGGACTTTGAGGCCGTGGCTAACGTCCCAAACAACCCGCTCCCTTGGTTCCATGGAAGTTCTTCTTTATCCAATTTGAAAAAACACTAGAGCCTGAGCTCCCACACAGTTCCTTTAGCGCGGCGTGTGTCCATGGGGGATTACATTGTTGGAATGGGTTCCCGACGCTGTTACCAAAGCTGTCTTCAAACATCAAGTCTCTGCTCTCATTAAAATCCTGAGCTCTCTGCAGGTTGCTTTGAATGTTGCTTTCTCAACTGGGGGCCGTGTCCAGACCCCATCATCCTATTCCCTTGTCTCTGTTCTTAGTGTCCCTCTATAGTTTTTTTTTTTACATATCCTATTGCGTTCATTATAGAAGATCTTTAACTGTAGCCAAGAAACACGTTGTGCATGAGGTCTATGCTGTTGGCTCACTGCTTTCTCACGTTAGAGCCATAACCATCCAAAGTCTTTCCCTCCCTCCTGAGTTGCTTCTTTTTTTCTCCCCCAAGCTATGGGACTCCAAGCTTACGTCCCGCAGTTCTTTGCCGCCCTCTAGTGCTTGAAGGTTATCAGAGTCGCCTACAGTCATATCATGACAGGCCCCCAGGTCATTGTTCGGTTGAAGCCGGAAGCTCTCGTAATAAGGGTGATGATGAAACGCAGTCTCCTGGCACATGATCTTGACCCCTCTTCAACAAATTTACAGCTTTCCTGTGGTTTGCCTGTGACTTTGGATGGGCCAATGATCCGTCCTTCTGCAGCTGGACATCAGAGGACACTGGGTCCAAGTGGCAGATTCAGTCCAGCGGTACCCCCACCCTCAACACTGGACCTAACATGGACCACACAGGTGAGGGCCCTCCTGATGCAGTACATGTTTTTCAGCCTTAGAGGTTTTTTTTTCTGTGAGTGATACAAGTTCTTTTATCCAAACAGGTGGATCAGGTAACTTCATATACACCTTGGCAACAAGTCCACAAGAGACCGAGGTGGCTCGGCTGGTCAGCCCACTGGTCAGCTCTCCGGACTCAGACCTGTGCATGTCCTTTTGGTACCACATGTTCGGGGCCCACATTGGCACACTTCATATAAAGCAGCGCAAGCAGACTGTTGAGGGACCAGCTGATATCCTGCTATGGACGGTCAGCGGTCACCAAGGCAATCGCTGGAGGGAAGGTCGTGTTCTCGTGCCCCGCACCAACAAGCCCTATCAGGTAAATCACTAGTGGCCTGTTACTCGTATTGGTATTTACCACCATACGAGTGCTTTTTCCATTCAAGGAAAAGTTGCCGAAAAAACAACCCTATGCTTTTCCCCGCAAGGTGGTTATCGAAAGTCTGGTGGAGAGAAAAAGCTGGGGAGACATTGCTGTGGATGACATTAAGGTTCTCAATGGACTCAGCATGACAGACTGTAAAGGTGAGGGTTTTAAGAGTTCGGTGCAATTCCTCCATTCAGTTCTTGTTTTGAAGTAAAAGAAAACAGTTTTATCTGCTGTTGGATTTATTCTTATTTCTGTTTGAACAGATCCTGACGTTCCCACTGAGCCGATGCTACCAGAGGATACCTTCAACGAAATCCGTAAGTAATTTCACACAGGGCGTTATATTTTACCGGTATCCCACTTTTTAGAACTTTTTGCTCACCTCTAGACACTTTGTAGTTCTTTCTCATCTCATCTTTCACTTCTTCTCTTCTTCTCTCTCCCCCCCTCCAGTGGAGGAGATCACTGAATACCCCGACTTTGTGGAGACCAACCAGATCAGCGGAGCCGGCAACATGCTGAAGACGCTCGACCCCATCCTGATCACCATCATTGCCATGTCCGCCCTGGGGGTCTTCCTGGGGGCCATCTGTGGCGTGGTCCTGTACTGTGCGTGCTCGCACGGAGGCATGTCAGACAGGAACCTGTCGGCCCTGGAGAACTATAACTTTGAACTCGTGGATGGGGTCAAGCTAAAGAAAGACAAACTCAATGTACAGAGCTCATACACAGAGGCGTGAAATGGGACCGGGAGCATTCGCGTGACTGTATGACATGCACAGCTCGCAGAGCGTGCACAAGACTGGCTATAGGCATATCCTCTCATATATCCATGTGTAGACCGGCTCAAAGGACTGCCAAAGCCCTCAACTCACTGGATGAGGGACATGTTCAGGAACCAATAGGAGGGTCAGACTGATCCATGCTTTTCTCAGGAGCTGCAGTAACAATAACCTACCAGTAGGGGACACTGTGTACAGATGAAATACGGAAAAATAATTATGTACAGATGATTTAGATGATATTTTAATTTTCTATTTTGATTTCATTCATTTTTACAATCGGATGCTGGTGTTGAGACCAATTTATTAATAATGTTTAAAGTATTTATCGTTTTCTGGGGAAAGACATTTTTGTTTGTTTTTATTATCAGTTCACAAAGGCTGTTGTTTAATTTCAAGTTTGAAAGAGACGTATCAAAATCATTAATGAACCATATCCGGCAAAACTGTAGATTTGCCCTAGCATACAGGGTCTGCTCATAACTCACAACCCTGAACCATGTACCCTGTCCCCTTTGACCTCTGTCACTCTATTGTGAGGGTCCCACTCATGGCAATGTATGGTTCTGACAGTGCCTTTTGTACATTTGGGTTCAGCCTCCTCCTTGATTTGGGTGTTTTGTTATAATCACAGGAAACGGGGGCACATTCTCTTATAAATACCCACAGAACAGGAAGACAGTCTACCACAGCGCTTTGTTTTTTTTGTTATTTTGTGTTCTCTGTCCAAAAACCACACACTGTAAATATGTTTTAATATATTTTGTTGCCCTTTTTAAAGAAAGGAAAAAGGAAAAAAAGCTGCAGTATCCCTTTTTTAATGGGTTTCTATTTGTGTAAATACAATCTTCTGACTGTTTTGTGGAAGGTGCAGTGTTATGTATTGTTTTTTTTGGTAATTTTAGATTAATTTGCTCAGACAGTAAGATTTGTGTGGTCTTACAGCGTTTTTCAATGTGCATTCAAGCCATCTGTCATCAAAATACACCCACTTCACAGAAAACACCAAAAGATAAAGATGAATCAAAAGGTAACAAAACAGAAAAAAACAACAACAATGAACTCTTTTTTGACTAATCTCACATATCTTCATCATATCTCCTCAACGAGCTGTTGAAATATATAAAATCGCTAACAGCATACCAAAAAAAAGACAAAAAAACCCACCACAGTCATAATGTCTTAGCTTTAGCTAAGACGTGGACTAGCTCGTCAACTCCGAACGTCACTGTGGATTGTTCACTGAAGACGTGCTATCCAGACACTGCAGCTTGAATGCACTTTGTCACCGATCCCCTGGTGATAGGAGCCTGTGGAAGGAGGGGTTAAACACACTAACTGAAGAATGGTGCTATCATTACTTTAGCCAGACACGTTTGTCTCACGATGAACCCAGTTTGTAATTGTTCACATGCTGTATTGTATCTTAAGGGCCTCTGGGACCGTGTTGGTTTTTTGCGTGTTCCACGTGTAGCAGCCATATCGTTGTGATGTCATTAGGAAGGGACACTGGTACAGCAGGGGGGGAGGGGGGAGGGTGGGGGGTCGAGTGGCGTCTCCTGAATCAGGTCACCTGGCCTCCCCTCCATTGCTTTACCAAAGGACGGTGGCCCCCCTCTGGTTCACTGGGATTTCTCACTTACAAAATACAACAGGACCACGGTTCCTGTCATCAGCCCTCACAAAAGAGACGACTACTCGCTTTGCTCTGGACAGAAAATCAAGAGGGGGGATAATGGGTCACTGTTTTTTTTCTCTCTTTCTCTCTCTTTGTAAGCTTCAAACAAGTGCAAATATCACCTTGATGTGAACTCTTCGGGTCTGTACTGAGTCTCCGGGACAATCCCACCGCTATACGCAACAAGGGGAAGGGACTTTGTGCGAACTCCCCGTGAGATTGACAGTATCGGGACACAAGGGCCCCCGGGAAACCAACTTTTTGTTTTTCCCCCCCCCCAACAAAACAATCAAAAAACTCAACCCTGAAAAGGGGGGGGGGGGGGGGGGGGCGCGTCTTTTACATCTGTGTGCTTTGTACGTCGTACCGTGGTGAACACATCCTCAGCTTGTTCCTTTCAGATTTGACCTCCCACTCACCTTCACGTCTGCGCTCGCGGCTACGGAGGACTGTAGCTCCAGCAACGTCTGCTGAACTAGAGGAAGAGGAAACTGTAGCGTGGACTCAAAACAAACAATGTTGCACTGATAAATATATTTAAGAGGTTTATGTGTTTATAGCGTTCATTTGCAAAAAAGAAAAAAACTGAATTCAAAAACAGAAGAGCGTGTTCATTTATTTCATCTTTTTTATACATATATAAATATATAGTTTCAGATTATGTGATAATTCTGAAATGTAAAAATATTGAGATGTTTTCATTATTGAAAAAGGCATAAAAGATTTTTCAATGGTAATGTCCCTCTCCCTCTATTTACATGGCATATTAACGCTTCATTTTGTACTGTCATTCAAATTTTGTGCCGATTTTTTTTTTTACAAGAACAAGAAAAGAAGACTTTTATTTTCAATACTGCTTCTGTAATTTGCTGTTGTAGGAAAAAATGAATAAACAGCAAGGCCTTAAAAGAATGTTTGTCGTGACCCACAAACTATGTTTCCTTTTCCAGTCAGATCCACATCACAGCCGTTAACCAGCAGCTCTTTGACACAACATCTGTTTTTGCATCAAAGTAAGGTGAAAGCACTATTTCAGTCAGCAAGATAGTAATGTAAAACCAGAGCGACTTGTAGTCTTTGTCTCACAGCTGTTGCTTTCAAAATTCACAAATAAAAGGCATCTTCAGATGAAAGAATGGGCTCATTTACTCCGGCATTTATCCATTACAGTGCAATTAGCTTGTTGTGGTAGATGTATTAGCGGAGACAATCCAAACTGATCGACTACTTTACTCTAACACCAGGTTATCAACAGTGATTATTTATGTTTAGATCACAAGACCAGATGGAAACCATCCAAATGTAATTATTAATGTGAGGACTCTCTGGTGAACGGCAGTGAAGATGGCGGCCCGGAGCGAAGGGCGGCCACGACCACTAATGGGAAGCTCGTGTGTGCTACACTCAGGCTCTCGGCTGCTTCTCTTCTTGGGCTATCATTAGCAGAAATCAGGCTTGGACTAAAATGTCTCTGATTTGATGAAGCCACATACTTAAATAGCGATGTGTTATTCTGGCAACACAACGAAACAACTTTGAATACATGGGGATAACGGATGGTTTAGTTTCATAGTTTAATTCCAGTTGTGAATGGGGGGGCAAAAGAATATTAGCAATTATTTGCAACACTTATTGTCTTTCAACATTAACACATCTTAGATTAATAGTAGCAGCCTTGCCTCCATTATCATAAACAATCATATTTGACTGGTAACATAATTTGGCTGCATACCCTCCACACCCAATTAACTGAGAGAGATTTGTAACCCAGCAACCCTGTGAGATCCTCTCTATCTCTTCTAAAACGACTCGAATCGTGGATAGAAATACTTTGACTTAATGAATTAATGAGTCAAGTAAGGCGAGGCATTATCAAATGCTCATCTTTGTTGCACACTCAATTAAGAATTAAAGAATTTAACTTCAAAGTGGTCTAAAGAACAATTAGATCGTTTCAAACTGAAAACGATGTACACATACAAAGAAACACAGTTACGTGCCCTTAAAGGGTAATTTCTATATTTTTCAACCATTTACCCAAGTTATTTGTGTGTAAGATGAGAATGTTTGATTCGTCCAGTGTTGCAGGGGAAGCCTGCAGATGCCAGACGCTAAACGGGCTGCGATATAATCATATTGTGCTTGTTTTGGCCTCTGACATGGTTGTTGTGTCGATAGAACTCTCGATCGACTTCTTGCAAAAAGTCACATGACTGAGTATCCAACCGAGAGTGAGTGGTTCAAAATATGAAAGCTCTATGAGAGCTTTTAGTGGACGTACAATGATTGTGATAAGTTACAGCCCACTCCCTCACTGCAACCTCAACACAAAAACATGAAAAAATAGGCCACGGTTAAAAAAAAATACTAAAATGATCCTTCAATACAAATCTATGAGCCATTTAAAATGATGAATAAAGGGGCATTACTTTATCACGTTCTACTAATCCTTCATGTTGAAACGTTGTCAAGAAATGGATCCTGGTCCAGATTCAGCTCTTTTTCATCAGTTTCACATGAGAAAGCAAGCGAGGATTAGCTGGATGAAGGTAACCCATATGATCATTGACAGTTTGTTGATAGAAAATCTGTCCCAAATAATTACAGTGGGCCAAAATAGATATTAGAACTTTCTGTTTTTTTTTGTAATTTAACCTTATCATCCAAACTGTTTGACATCCAAACTCAATCTACAGTTTTCCCCTTTACCACTGGATGGCTCAGTAGAGTAATGCTACTAGAAAGTAAGATGCAGACTGGAAATGACTCTGCTTAACACAAACTTAGAATTACACAGGCGCATAGATTCCCAAAGAGTAACATGTTATAATAAAAGTCACTTCATTCAGTCTATCAGTGGATGGTTCACTCCTTCACTTCCATCTTATATCACCACAGAAGTGAAAGCAAGTTATAAGAAGGGTCATAGACTACAAACAGTTTCAATGCTTGCTCAAGGATCGCTTTAATAGAACAGAGTCACTGTCAATATCGTTTATAATACTATTGGCTTATTATTATATTGTCATGATAGTTGTTAATTGTGAGTGTAATGTTAATGGAATGGATTTTGGATGCTGTGAAAGGAAAAGCATGAAAGTGTGAAGCAGCCCGTTATTGTAGTTTTTGAGGGATGTGTCCCTGTTTCCATGCAGTAACCAGTTCTGACCACACGGGGGCTCTGGAGCCATCGGCACTGCATGAAAATCAACATAACAAACCAGGGACCCTTAGTTATTGCATAATGTACAGTTTATACATTATTAGAACAAGTGGAAAAACTAATAATGTTAAATACGTTATATCAGTGAAACCTCCCCATGAGTTATGCTGTATAACAATTAATTGCAAAGAGCATTCAATATCTTAAATAAATTACCCCAAAAAATCAACGGGGAAGAGAAAGTATTACATTTTGAGTTTCTGTCCAGTTAACGCAGATTGAACCTTCCAGCTATCTCGCAGAGGGCAGGGGGAGAAAGAAAAAAAAGCTGCATTCCCTTGTGAACACTCCCTAGAGACTAAACAGGATTCCAGGATCTTCCGGACAAGATAGTTTGTTTTCTTTCCCCAGCATCTCCAGTGCTGGGACCGAAAAAACTTTCCCCTTAAACAAATACACAACAGGCTTGGTTGATTATTTTCAACAAAGCTAAGTCAAAATAAGCATTGCTTCTATTGTATCTAATGCTTTGGAATAGGGGGGGTTCTTGTTAATATATAATTACTTAGAAATGTTGTTTATGTCTGATAACATCTTAAGTAAAGCATATGCAGGCACTTTCTTCCTTTCTTTAACTTTATTACACTATTCATAACCAGAAAAGCGTGATTAATGAGGAGAATAAACTAGGGAATTACAACGTTTTACAAAGTTTGTATTCCATGGTAGCCAGTTATATCAAAGAAACTCGAGCCACAAGGACTGAAACCACTTAAAATTCTGTAGTAACTTACTACAGAATTTTAAGTAATTCCAGTAATCGTATTACTAATAAGCACTGTTATTATAACACTTTACTATCTGCAAAGGCTGTTATCTTCTCTCAAATTGATTACAGGGATAACTTTAATTATATGACTAACAAAGCAGTTGGAGAATCAGCCCGTTTACAGTCAGCGACTCAGGGTAAGACTGAATTTTTGTCATATTTTTGTGGTATTTGCTGATGGCGCATCGAATAAACTCGAAGTGCTTATATAACACAACGTATATAAAGCATTTTTGTTTTATTGTTAGCAAGATGTCAGAAATAAACACGGTGTACACTCTTGCAGTAAGATTTATAATTGTATAAAGGAGCCATCGGGTGTCATCAGGTGTCATAAAGGTGTCATCAGCATCGTCTTCATCATTGATGATGAAGACGATGCTGATGACAGAGATCCAGATTGATGTGTCATTGAATAGACATGTTGCCACCATCTGTATAAATAGGCAATTACGGGAGTGGGGCTGTCCTCTAGCAGTGACGTAGACAGGAGAGCCAGAATAGAGTTGCATCAGGTCAGCACCATTGAGTAAAATTAAACCAGGAAAGGCTTATTATGTTCCTTCAGAATAAAATAACTTGATATGTTATACGCTGGAAAAATCTTTATACAGTGTGTGTGTGTGTGTGAGTGTGTGTGTGTGTGTGTGTGTGTGTGTGTGTGTGTTCGTACGTGCTTTCTCTGGATGATTCCTTTTGCTCCTTTGGGTTTTTATTTTTTTATTTCCAGGCGGTAAATCCCTATAGGAGTAAAATAGAGTATTTTTTCACCCATGATCACCACCATGACAATTTTCGTCGTTATGTCCAACACACATGGCAAATCAATGTTTCCTGATTCTATTTATCAAAACAAATTTGAATGGTTAATATGAGAACAGTAGCTATTATTAACACACATTATTTATATCTACAGTCATTCCGCTACATTTGTAGTAAAATTATGCATAATGTATCTCCCAAAATTATAAATCTTTTTTTCTCATGTTTGTCCCAGTTTTATTCTGACGGTCAAGGACCGGAACAGGTTGGTGTCACACCACGCGCTGCCGCTCAGAAGACGCGGTGCTCTCCTCTCTGCCCTGATTTAGACCGAGGAGAAGAGGTCCGCACGGGCACTGTTAGGATCTAGTTTCCTTCCCCCGGCGTCCAAACTGCTCCTGCATTTGGTTCTAATAGAAACCGGAAACCTATTTTTCTGTGCGGAGGGAAGCCGAGGGGGGAATGAGTAGCAGGGGCCAGCTACCGTGACTCTTTCGGAGGAGAAAGTGCCCCCCCCCCCCGGTGCCAACAACCCAGAGAGTGTCTGTGCTGCAGCGGATCATCATTTGGAGCTGGAGGACAATAACAGCAAAGTGCCGAGGTAAAGGATGTGTTGTTTGTACGTCAAATTAAACACAACTGTTATGTGTGATACTTTTGTAACGTTAGCTCTGTCACCTGTAACATCTTAATGTTCCTGTATGAGTTGGTGGTTGAATGGATCACTGTTAAAGGGCGCTAGATCAAATTCTGTATTCTGTGTGCAATATGTTATTGTAGCTTTGCAATTCTGAAAATAAACTGCTGTGCTGCTGTGGATGTTGTGAGCGACAGGCTGCATGTTCACACTAAATATGAAAGGCCTAACAGGTTCAACAAGTCATCTCACATAAGGGGGGGACTTTAAAGTCCCAGGACAGATTGAATCACATCCTGGAACCCT